TAATTTCTTTGGGCGTTCGTAGTGTTGCCACCGATGTGAGGTCCCCCAATGATCTCCCTGATGACTTGGCTCCCAGAGAATGGGGCCTGATCTCTTTGTCTAGACTGGCCTCGGTCCCTTGATTCTCTTCTCCGATGTGATTGCTTCCTATGTCCTCTTTCTCCCCTGTTCGGGGAGGCGGATCTGCGAGTATATTCACTCCTGCTGGAAGGATGTGGGTTGCTTAGATCAGGGCGTCGATTGGCGTCTCGGCACTCACTAGTGTCATGCCCATAGAGTTGCTGGAAAGTGCAAAATCTCGTCCTTTCCAAGGACTTGTTTAACCTTTTCTTCTTCTTACTATCAGTTTTTCCGGATGGTCCTGCTTCGCCAGGAGCATTCTCGTATGCCAATACCGGTACTGCATTCAATATGGCGGAAGCCAGTGCCTGTCCGGAGGTGAGAGCTACTGCATGACCTACTTGAGTCCACTGCTGAGTGACGATGTGCGCTGCGGGTCCTCGACCTACCTGCCTCTGAGGCGGAGGGAGTCCCTACGCGGCACGATTTCGATGATCAATCATCTCCTCACTGACGATTTTCACCAGTTCGTCATAGGTCGCAGGATTCTTGCTGTGCACGTCTCTCCAGAACAAAGTGTTGATGTTGAGGCCGCCTTTTAGAGCTGAAAGGGCTTCTCTGTCAGTAACATGTTCGCAGTATGTGATTTCGTCTGTAAACCTGGTGAGATAGCTTTTCAGCGTCGCTCCAGGAGCCTGCCTCATATTTTGCAGGCGTTGCACTGGGGTTTCTCCTTCCCTGCATGAGAGGTATTGGTTTAAGAATGTCTTCTTTAAATCTGGCCAACTCCTAATACTCAGGGGAGAAAGTCTGTTGTACCACACTTCAGCGGCTCTGCCCAGGGTTAAGTGGAAGGCTCTGCATTTCAAAGCAGGCGAGGCTCCCCTGAGGCTCATCCGTGTCATGTACTTTGTGAGGTGCTTCTCTGGGTCCCCCTTTCCTTCATACTTGGGGATTTTAGGGGACATGAAGTTCGCTAGCATTGGGAAGCTTCAGATCTCCCTTGAAAAAGGAAGGTTATCATCATCGTCATCGATCTCATAAGATCGACAGGGCCCATCTGACCCTTCATTATCTTGAATATCTTGGGGAGGTGAAGGTGCTTCTCCTCGGCTTCCCCAATCGATTAGGTTCCTTTTATCCCTCCTATTTCTAGGAGGAGGTGTCTGTTCTTATTCCTGGTCTTTTCGAACTGATCTTTGCACTGAGCGGGCCCTATTACTAGGGTCCTGCCCTATTCGGTCGAAGACGCTTACTGATCTTTATTCCTCATATTCTTGAGGGAAATTGTCCCCTAGCTGTGGTTCCGCTGGCTGGCTTTCCTGCACATAGGATGTGGCTTCCGCGCCCACTTCTGTTTCGAGTGGGCGTTCTCTGTGCCAGCTCATATGGCCTCGGGAACGGATACAAGGGCTTCCTGCACTGGGTAAGATCCTTGGGACATTTGATAGCCTTGGTGATCTTGGGCTTGCATGAGAAGTTCATGCATCGTCATATTCTGAGCTGCAATGTCTCTCATGCCCGCCGCTATTTGAGTCATCCTTTCAGTGAGCATGGCTGTTCTTGCACCTCAGCGACGCCGATGATGGGGTCTCTAGTGAGTGACATTGTTATGGAGCACCTCTTCTTCAGAGGCCTTTCTCATGGGATTGTCGTCTTCATGGCTGGAACTCATTCTATCTCCTTTTTCAAGGGTGATAAGAATTTATGATATAACTGGGCTTTGTTCTTTTTCAAGAACGTTCCATTTTCAGGGTAAGTTGCTAGTTTTCCGGTGTTTTCTCCAGTAGAGAATGTAGAACTTTGAACGGGAAGATTTTCCATAGACGGCGTCAATCTGTTGACCTCGAAAATTGGACCCTCTACGTGGCTAACCGATAGCCACTCCACGTATTCCTCCCTGCGCACAGTCAGATGCACACGGTCGGGACCAGTGGGGATGGCGGCACCCGTATACATTCCGACGGTCAAGTTAGGCTCATGTGATCGGAATAGTACCAAAGTTGTACAAAATAGTGGGGAGGAGAATATATATTTGCTTGCTATGGAGTGCTGAATAGGAAGAGTTTCATTACCTTTACCTCTTGCCAAACCTTGAGTATTTATAAGTGAGGAGAGCTGTTGGATGTGAGACACGTGTATACATCTAAACGGTATGAGTCCTCTGCTCATAGGCGTCAATCAACCGCATCTGTAGAGTGGGTGGGTAGTTACTTCTCCAGAGTTGAGTTGATATAAAGTTGATAGGTCACATCAACTAGCCTCATGTAGACATCAAATCACTTTAAACCTTAGGGTAGAAAAGATCTTGACAAAGATCTCATTCTGAAATCGACGGTGGATCCTCAGGCCGAGGTCCACGGGAATCATTTCGCCTCGGATTCAGGGGGATAGGGCGCTTCGGTCAGTTTTGCAGAATTACCTATGTCTCGTAGTGTGATAGCAGACATCTCATTTGGAATCACTTCGTATGAACGTTCCACACCTCATTTGACGTGGTGGTGGACTTTCTGAAGTGAAACCACTTTGTATGAGAGTTCCATACCTCGCCGATGTGGGTTCAGTTAGGGGCGTAACAATTGGTATGTTTGGGAAGTATTTAGTTGTCAATTTCCATTATTGAATAATTAAAAGACTTAATATTTATATACTATTTATAAACCTATGCAAAACATAGACAAATTAAATAAAAAAGGGGTTGAGTTTCATAACTTTTTTTTTTAAATTGTAAAAAAAACAAAATTAAAAAAGGCAATAACGAACTCTTGCACGTCCAAGGTTTTGCGTCCACGGTTTAAGGCTCCGCACCCGAGCCTCATTAGACTCAGCTGAAGTGTAAGGGGTGAGGGAAGATAATAGAACAGATGAAGTTCTCACTACCACTTAATTAATTAACTTAACGGTAAAGATTTTACTTGTTTTGAAGAAAAAATTATAATCTCATTATAATTTAAAGTAAAGTCAAATATTAATTTTAACCGTACATTTGCAATTACTACTCACTTAGATGTTCACTTCCTAAACATAAAAGGTCTAGTTGTGCATAACTAAACCAGTTATTCACTTGAATCTACATATTTGGACTTTACTATGACGGCATAGATTGTATAGACTGTTTCATCTGCTAAATGACTAACAATAGATTTAGCTCATATGAAAATATAATTAAAATTCAAGGTGTTACAATTTCCGAATGTGTAGTTATTAGGACATTGCATATTAAGCCCCGTTTGATTCTTATTCTTATAAAAATGAGAATGAAAAATATAGTCAAAGTTGTTCCTCTCATATTTGATTATTAATTTAGTAGTAAATAAGTTCTGGGAGCCAAATGAAAAGAACACATACACGACCTCATTAATCCATTCTTATTATGGATAGGTATATCGAAAATGTCATATATCAAGGGATCGAGTAAAATCAAGTCTCATTCACGAGCAAAACAAGAATGGGTCATCAGATTACTTTAATTGTATATTTGGTAAGGTGAATTGAATGATACTAAATAGAATTAAAAAGAAAAGAAAGAAGTTAAATTTTGTTTATATGAACAAATATGCTGTAGCTACGAGAGTTGGTCGGTCCATATAGCAATTGGAAATAAGGCAAACTTATACATGGTTGTGTCAAGTCTCTAACAAGCTTCTTTGAGAAATGATTAAATTTAAAAAAAAATTAAATTAAATTACTACATCAAAGGGCATCTATTCATGGGGTATAGTTACGAACCATGGGCACAAAAACAATCCTTCAAGTCCAAGTATCTCTTCTCATTCATAGAATCCTGTAATGTCCTATTCCAATATGTATTATTGCAATTTGAATATGATTGTCTAAGTTACTACATAATAGGACAACAATGTAAATAATGTTTTGATATTTTGACAAAATTTCATGTTTTTGACATTACTTGTCTGGAGGAATGTAGCTAGTTCCTTAATGCTTTCAAATAATTAACTGCTACTTGAATTATTTGTGATTTATATTGTTTTCGAGATGTTGCATATAACTTTTAGCAAATATTGTAGATTCTAATAAATGATAGAAATATTTTATTATTGTCTATTTTTTATAATGTTTATTGATTCAATGCCTTTCTATTTATTCATAGCTTTCTACTTGTGTTGAGATCATTCATTTAACGAGTTTTATGCTAACTAAAGGATTCACTTTAGTAGCAACCCCCAAATTTTTTTGTTAAGGTTCCATGAATCGTCAGTACTCGATATGGCACTAGCAATTTCATTTACCATCTATAGCCACCCTAAATTTTCCTCGTTGATCGTGTTTCTACAAGGGCTGTCATCACTATGCAGGAATTAGTTACATCCATTTCACAAAGATTAAATGAATATTATTATTATATTAATGAGAACAAAGAAATAACTTACATTAGTCAAATATAGACTAGAACCATATAAACCCTCATAAAATCAGATGGGTCATTGACTTATCCTATATCTTGGTAAAAGTTTTATATGCATTTGCTCAAATTTTCAACACCAATCTCCAACCTTAGACATGTTATAATATACAATTTGGGTAGAAAGGGGTCGTGAGAGAGGAAAAGGAATTTTTGAAATGTGTCGAGTCTTAATACATATCAATTATTAATTATTTTTTAAATGTTTTTTATTTATATTTACGTTTAGCAATGATACATCGGTTAACTCATGACTTGTTAATCAAACCAGTAACCCAATGACCGATGCTATGATTGGATAGTTCGAGTCGATAAACTAATTTTCGAATGATGTAGTGCCTTCAGTAGATCAATTTCCGGGCCAGGCCCACAAATGTGCTAAAAGAGTACTTTTGGGCCTGAGGTCCTGTATAAATCTGTTTTCGGCCCAATAACGGAAAGCCCAAATAGAAAGTAAAATGCTGGTAGGATAAACCCTAGAACAATCGTGTGACATATAAAGCTTATCGTCACCCTTTCTGATTTTCCTTCCATTTGCACAGCTGCGAAGAAACCTAGAGAGAGAGGGGGAGATATATAGTGAGAGAAAATGGTGTCGCTGAAGCTACAGAAGCGGCTCGCCTCCAGCGTCCTCAAGTGCGGCAAACGAAAGGTCTGGCTTGACCCTAATGAAGTCGATGAAATCTACAAGGCCAATTCCCGTACGCTTTCATCTCCTCCCTCAATTTCAAATTCATACACAGATATATGCTTGTATGTATATATGATAAGCACTCTTTGTACTCATTTCATGAATATCTAATGGATTTGATTCGTTTAATAACTTCTTAATCATCGTGTTTAACTGATTATTTTTTTTATTTCGATTTTTCTTGTATATTGTATAATATATATCAATAAATTTAATTTAATTGTGTTATTAAATTTATCATTGAACGTAGTTTATCTGTTAAATTTTCTGACACTTAGTTTTACTGTTTATGGTGTGCAAACACATGTTCATTTGAATTGTTTTTATAAGATTCGATCGAAGCAATTTGTAGAAGTGATAGGAAATAATAAGTTAGACCAGCCTATGATCAACATGTTTTGGCTTTGTTTCTTTGCTACTAAAGTAACTAATTGCTTGCTTCTGTTGTCTATTGGAGGTTAAGACCCTTTTTAACTGCCAAAAGAACATTTTTTAGCTAATATTGCTAATAAAACCCTAGCAGCTACTTCGAAAGCAGCAAAGCCAACCATGAGATAAATTATTAGTTTTTTTTTAGATGCATATGGAGTTTTTATTGAACTTCTTATGATAAATGAATCTGAGTCCTGTTATGGAATGTTTGCCCTATTTTCTGAACCTTCAAGCATTGAACTAGAATTTGCTGGATATACCATTTATTGACTTGTGTCGTGCATTGTTTCTGAGTTTGATATACATATTTTCTGAACCATGGAATTCAGTAGCACCTTTTTTTGGGGGGGCACTATTTAATAAGCATTTAGCGTTGTGAGCTGTGATAATGTTATTAAAGATTTTCAAAACCTGAAATGCAGGGCAAAACGTTAGGAAGTTGGTTAGGGATGGTCTAATCATCAGGAAGCCAACCAAGATTCACTCTCGATCCCGTGCTCGCAGAATGAAGGAGGCCAAGAGAAAGGGACGTCACTCTGGATATGGTACTGTCTTCTGATTGCCACAATTTTGTAGATCCTGGATTATTGATTGCTCGAATTGTAGTAGTTGTACTTTTAGCAAGAACAAATTTCTGCATGGTTTTGGTCATTAAGCTAGTTTTACGCAATACAGGGATCTTACGATGGTCCTTATATTTATCCATAAAATTAAAGTAAACAACTCTATCTTCTTTTCTCGAAATATGAAAGCTGAAGTCATGATTCTTATGTTGTATATATCCCCATATTAACATAACTCAGATTTAAAATTTTGACTGCTGCTGAGAAATTAGATTATTATTTTAACGTTATGACAACATGCTTACATGCATTGGTGTCCTTGTTAGTTTAGATTAGCTATTTGTTGGGAAGAGAAGAATACAAGCCCAATTTTGAAGATGCTTCCAAATAATTGCAGGTAAACGCAAGGGTACTAGGGAGGCCAGATTACCCACTAAAGTCCTTTGGATGCGGAGGATGAGGGTCCTCAGGCGCTTGCTGCGTAAGTACAGGGAGTCGAAGAAGATTGACAAGCACATGTATCATGACATGTACATGAAGGTGAAGGGTAATGTTTTCAAGAACAAACGTGTTTTGATGGAGAGCATCCACAAATCTAAGGCTGAGAAGGCCAGAGAGAAGAACTTGTCTGATCAGTTTGAGGCTAAGAGAGCAAAGAACAAGGCTAGTAGGGAAAGAAAGATGGCTAGGAGGGAGGAACGTCTAGCACAGGTGAGTGCAACTTTGATAATAGTTGGATTGTATGCAGATGCTCTGAATATGACAAAAATAAGGAACATGAATAACTTACATGTGGAATTGTTTTGTGTGTATGCATGCATGTCTAAGCTTTTGTCTACTCTAGACCAGGAGACGAACTCAATATGGTATCATACAATTAAACGATTGTGCGTGTTTCACTTTGCCTTGACATATGTTGTACTTTTCTGCCTAGTGCCCAGGATTATGAAGAACTGTCTTTAATGAAAGTATCAAATTCTACTTGGTATTTGAACTTTGTTTTAATGTTGATTGAGCAATTGCCTCTGAGCTTTCTATTTCAGGGGCCAGGAGAGAGAGCGCCACCACCTGCAGCAGCAGCAGCCGCCGCCCCTCCATCCCAGCCAGCTCAGTAAGTGACTTCTAAAGATGATGCAATGACCACTACAAGTTATTTGAACTGTGCTCTGACCTTTTTAAATTTTTTCAATGCAGGGGAAGTAAAAAAGCTAAGAAGTGAAATATCTATCATGGTTAATTTTAAAGATTTGTGGCTTTATGCCATGGCACTGTTTCTGTTAGTATGTCACTTTGTTTTTCTACTTTTGTGTTGTTATCTTTTGATAAAACTTTGCTATCTATATTTAGACGAAAGGAGTATAAAGATACATCACTGTAGTTTGTCATATTTTGATTTAATAATTGTGGCTGTAAATTTCCTTTTGGCATTAGCTTCTTCAGAAAATGATCGTCTTTTGCTCTTGCTCGAGTATCTTTTGGGAGTGGAATGTTTTTCTAGCGCATGATTGATCTTGGTCCTGCTGGAGAGCTTTACTGTGAAGTGGAATCCGAATTCATACGAAACACCACATCCTTTGAGACTTGCATCTTTGGTAGTCCAGAATTCAGTAAATCCCTAATGGGCGTATTTACATTTGGGTTAGACAACGTAACGAGACTTCATAACAGATTCTCCTTAAGTCAAGGTTTAGGACATTCTTTCCAAGAATTGACTAGGCTGATGGGAAAATGTTGTCCTATGTAACCATTGATTTTTAGGTTTCGTAACTGGTGTTTAGTTTCGGCCCTGCTACTCAAACAGGTGATGCCACCTCAGCCCCCATCACGGCATGTTTGAGTCGCATGATATGTTTAGTTTGGTTATTGATTCATAGAAAGTGCCACATTAACAGAAGAATTTTGAGAGATTGATTGACAGGATTGTGCGAATTTATGAAAAATATGACTATGTTTTAAACAATTCAATGATAAGGTCAATTTTGACTGTTATGCTTAAAGCCTAGGTAGCACACCTGTTAATAGAATGTTCCTAATTGAACCAGAATTATGACTAGGGAAGTTCTTTCAAGCCAGCAGTTCCCACCAAATCGTAAATCGAAGTCCTTGAACCAAGACTTTCAAGAAGTGAATATGCAAATTTGGTTAACAGAAGTGGAATGTCGTGTGAAAAAATACAGTCAGAATTTTATGCCTGCGTGACCATGTTTGGTGAACGGTAATGGCATGTCATTGGATGATACTCAAGTACTATATATATAATAATTGATAATTAATATTAACTATACATTTCATGGAATTTATAACTTTTCAATGAAGTATTTCATAAATTATAATTAAATTCTATTGAAAGTCTTATATTTGTCTAAACCAAACAAGGCAGAAGCTTTTCTTGTAAATAATTTGATGTTGGAATCCTTTCACCCCATCTTTTTATCCACCGTCGGTTTGGAGGCTTGCATCTGAAAGGTCAACTTCTTGCAAAAAAAGTTAAAAGTCATTTTCATTGCATACAATCGAACGCGTTTCATACATGCACAAGGTGACTTAGTCTGGACTCTTGGAACTTGACATAAGGGTTTTGGGGCCTGCTAAGCGTACAGGCCCTTGCATATCAGGGGGGCCGAGCTGGTTCCCTGTAGGGGCCTTTTCCAAGGGTTTTATGCAATCACAGTCTCTCTTTTCATCCCGATTTCACATTCATATAGGGTCTTTTTCATCGGTTGTACGGTTTGGCGACCTAAAATTAACTCGACTATTTTAAAAGGCCTCGTTACTAAAATCCGACTCACAAAGTGTCCCTCCCATTGTAGGGTTCCAAATCATGTCTCGCTCTTTGTGACATGCTATGTTTTCCCTCTCATAGTAAGTTACGTGTGTTAGTTTGCGAACTACGATCTCACACAATCTCGAAATTTTTCCTCCTTTATAGAAGTTAGGCTCACGGAACCTGACCAGATAACTCACAAAGGATGAGCCCAACATGAATAAAAAAATTAATCCACTCATCCCCATTGTGTGTGCCCAGTAAAGCCACTGTGAAGGCACCCCTTGTGCGACAAGTGGGTTCTCAATCTCGTTCATTATATCATTGCATTGAGCAATACAATATTAGTTGATACTTAATTTTCCAACACCATTATTGTTTCATTTGTCAAGAAAAGAAGTTCACGAATCACACATCTTCTTTCACTTTGCATTGTCCTGTCAGCCTTATTGCGGCCCACAAAAAGTTTTTAAGCTCGTTTGGCATGATTTTTTATTTTTGCTTTTACTTTTTGAAGAAGTTATCTTAATTTTTTTTGAAAATTAATTTCCAAAAAAATTTCCTATTCAGAAAGTGTGTTTAGAAGAAACCATAGTTTTTTTTCTAAAATCTCTTCTAGCTAAAAGAATTACTTTCATAAAATTAGTTTAATGGGTCAAAAAGTTACTTTTAAATCTCATAAACTTCTTTTGATTTTTCAAAAGTCATGCCAAACAGACTCTTATTATTTTAAGCCGCATTAAAGACATGAGAATAAATGAAAATTCACCTCAATCAGGAATGCATTAAATCCAACTATGGCCACTGCACTTTATATTTTTTGCAACTATGAGCACACAAATTACTTTTGATTTATCATGGTTATCTAACTTTATATAACATTTCATTCCAGCAACCAAATTATTAACATAACAGAAAAATACAAACACACTAAAAAATTCATGCATAATTATTCCTACAACAAAAACAATGATGAGAATCACAAACAAAAATAAACACAATACAAGAAAATTTGACTAACCAAAATTCAAAAATTATATATATAATATAAAGTGTAATACTGTGGCTTGATTGAAACGTTATATAAAGTTGGACGTGTTTATAATTTTTTTTTTAATTTTTTTTTTTGGATAATAATTTGATGGTTTGATTGAAACTTTATATGATGTTGGATGATCATTGTGAATCAAAATTGATTTAAATGATTATGGTGACATTAAATAAATGGGTCATGTTACATTTATATCGGGGTGTCCATCCCTCTTCACATGGAGGGGGCTCGCTTCAAATAAAATATAATTTATTAAAAATGGGCTTCTTCTATGTTAGAAGGATGGACACCACTTGGTGTACAAGCAGCTTATCCTAAATATAAAGTACAAAAGTGAATTAAAATTAGGTATCATTACTTTGAAAAAATATATTATGGAATAGTGATTGATAGAGAATGTGTGATTAAAGAAAATAAAATTTTTATTATTTATGTGTAATATTATTTTAATAAAAAATATGTGATTAAAAATGATTAAAGTACAAAAAGATAATGGGCAAAATGTAAAATAAAGGAGGACAGATGAGCTTAATTTAGGTAGTCACGGTACGGTAACCATGTGTGAATTAATCCAATTAGGAACGTACAGACAACATGGTCCACCGAGAGACACGACACCACTTCACCAGTTCAAACTGAGGACCAAGAATCAGACTCCCCAGCTCCATGGCAGACCTGCGAATCCATCAAGGCTAATCCACAGCAAAAAAAATTCCCGCAGCGTTTTACTGTGGGCACATACCCATTTGACAGAAATCACATACAGTGATTAATGGCTCATGATCATTGAATTAAGTTGATAAGTAAGTATAATTCTTGTTTCACTTTCCGAAATTATTTGATTTATCGTATTTTGTCTCACTTTCCCAAATATAATTTAGTTACCCAAAAAGATCTTCATTTAACTCGGCAGTATTTTTTCATAGTTTACAGTTTTTATGTAATTTTACCCTTTTCTTTGTTCTTCTTCCCAATTTAATGTGCAGTTGAAGGGTTTTGGAGGTGTGGTCTTGAATCAGAGAGAAGAAAAAAGTTATGAAGAAGCTTGTAAGTATGTAGGTAATTTTTTGAATTTCAGTGATCAAAGATTTCTTCAATTATTGTAGTTTCTGGATAAATTTATTATTTTATTTTTCCTTTTCCTGTTCAAGTTATGAGAGTTTTTCTTTATTTATTGGTAGCTTCCTAATAGGTAATGTTTATTTTAAACTGTTAAGCATGTTTGGTAAGTAGGAACGGACCGGATCGGACGATAGTAACAAAGAAAAAGAAACTAAATTCTTGTTCATTGTACCATCATGTTTTATGTATACAAAGATGCACTTGTTGTCTTATCTTCGCATAAAAATTGGCGTGAGTGTTGATATTTGGTTGCAGCATTATGAAATGGGTTTGATGCTGGTGCAGTACATGCAATGTTTAATTTGTCTACTTTGTCTATAAGAGAACTAATTATTGAACACTAGATTTAAGCCATGTTTGTTGGTAAATCAAAGGCTCTTTTTGGCAGTGATAAAAGGAATACTTGGTACTTGTAGCTAGGTTGAAAGTAGTCGCTTGTACTCATATTCATGTATGTCAACTGTTGGAATCTGTTCTGAGCGTTACTCTTTTCTTTAAACCGCTTTAAAAATGCAGTGTTCCTTATTTATGTTTTAAGATAATGATCTTGTCATTTTGAATTTTGTTATCCTACCGTGTTAATCTGTACGTTGACATACTCTTTTGTTGAATTATGGCTGTTACTTAATGGCAGTGTATGAGACAAATCACTGGGTGCGTGTTTGGTATTTAGTCCAGTGCTATCCAAATGCTGTGTCTATTTATGAACTGTCCTTTAACCTTTTCTTTCTGTCTTCTTGCTTTACAGGTGGTTTTTCTTTTGCTCCTGGCATTGAGTTATGCTGCGGAATACGATGGAGAATGCGAGTCTTTCCAGCCGTTAACACCCAGACCTCACACCATTTCTGTTTTGGAATTTGGGGCTGTTGGGGATGGGAAAACATTAAACACTCTGGCATTTCAAAATGCCATTTTCTATTCGAAGGCATTTGCTGACAAAGGTGGTGCCCAACTTTATGTACCCAAGGGAAGGTGGCTTACTGGAAGCATCAACCTTACTAGTCATATGACGCTTTTCCTGGAAAAAGATGCCATCATTCTTGGCTCTCAGGTTGTCATTTTAGTACAGAAATTTACCTTGTTTCTTAAAAAAAGGAATTTAGGGCCGATAGTTTATGAAGATGAATGCTATTTTTCACTTCAATCTGCTAGAACTGACCATAGTGACCACATTTTGTTCATTGGACCAATAAAGGGTTTCTACTTGTATAATTCTTCTCGAGTTTGGTCTTCCTCTTACCGATTGAAAACCTTATTAGGTGGGCTTTTGATTAGACATAATAAAATGCTCTGCCTATCGTTATTTTTCTTTTCTCACTGTTGCTCCTTTAGGAGATATGAATATACCCTGATTTTAATCAATACCTTCTGCAGATTTTATTCACATGGTGCACAATCCTACGATTTTTGCCGCATTACAAATTTAGAACATCTATCTGCCCTGAAAAAGCGTCGTGTTTGATTTTTAACTTGTTTTCCTGAAAGACCTCTTAATAGAAAAATGTTAAAATAGATTGGATATTTATAAAAGGAAAAATGGATTCTTGGGAGTGTCACTAAATTGAGTTGTTTCTGCCAAAAGTTTTGTCCTGACAAGAGTTGCCCTAATGAATTCGACATTACTTTGTTTTCGTATTGGAATTAGAGTATTTTTAAAAGTATTCTACTCACTTTTGCAGAATCATAGTTACTGGGATGTACTTGAACCTTTACCGTCTTATGGGCGAGGTATTGAGCTACACGATAGAAGATACGGCAGCTTAATTACTGGAAATAATTTAACTGATGTTGTGATAACAGGTATGTTCTGCTAGTAACTCAACCAATTTACCACTTTTTCCCATATTTTTACAATTTAACATTGCCATTCTTGTGCAATTTTACTTATTTTCTACCTATCGTATAGGCGATAATGGAACAATTGATGGCCAAGGCTCCATTTGGTGGGAGCAATTCACCGCTCATTCTCTAAATTATAGTCGACCGCATTTAGTGGAATTCATTGATTCAAACAACATTGTTATCTCAAACTTAACCTTCTTAAATGCACCTGCTTGGAACATTTACTTTGCTTATTGCAGGTGGCTTGGTTGGATCTCTCTATTTCATTTTTTTAATTGCAAGTTGAAGATTATCTCTAGATTAATGTGCTCAAGTTAACAAGTTTTACTTTTTTTCTTTATGCAATGTGATGCAGGAAGGTTCTAGTTCAGAATGTAACAATTTATTCTCCACCCGATGCTCCATACTCTAGCGGAATAGTCCCAGGTCCATTGAAATCTAAATCTGAATCGTTGCACGATTACTTGTGTGATGAACTTCAAATATTCACATGGATACGTTTAATTTTTTACTTTTTACACGTCTCGTCTCAAACACAAGATTTTCCCTTGAAGAGTTATGGAACTTTCTCTTTACTTTCTCCAAATGCTGTAAACAAAACCCAATTGTATTCACGAGACAGGATTTTCTCGTCCAATGTTTCTCTGCATAGGAAAACTCGCAATGTGAATTTTCAGATCCTTCCGTAAATATGTTTCCATCCCTAATAGTAAATTAGAGTGGTTAATGATGCTCTTGTTATTAAAAGTGATTATGCCATTATGAGTCATTTGGTGTTAAATTTAAATTTTCAATTCTTACTCGTCTAATATCGCTCTATTTAGTTTAACTTGAAATGTGAATTTTCAGATTCTTCCGAGCACGTTTGCATTGAGAACAGCAACATTAGCACAGGTTATGATGCTATTGCGCTTAAAAGTGGTGGGGACGAGTATGGAATTGCATATGGCAAACCGACCGCGAATGTACACATTCAGGGGGTTTCTGTGCATTCTTCTTCCGGATCAGGAATAGCCTTTGGCTGCGAGATTTCGGGTGGCATATCCAATATACTTCTCGAGCACCTTCATGTGCACGACTCTCCTACTGGTATTGGGCTTAAGATAGATAAAGGAAGGGGTGGCTATATCAAAGGCATATACGTATCAGACGTGCTCATGGAAAATGTACAGCGAGGAATCAAGGCAACAGGTCAGTGCAAATCACATCCATATGACAGATTTGATCTTCATGCATTGCCAGTGATCAGTGGCATCACCTTTAAGGACGTGGTCGGTGTAAAAAATTCTGCAGCTGGGATTTTTTCTGGAATTAGTGAATCTCCTTTCACTTCCATATGTTTGTCAAATGTTTCTTTCTCTGTCACCGCTGACCCCTCCACATCATGGGTATGCTCCAACGTCTTCGGTTCCTCTAGTAATGTATCACCTGAACCGTGTCCAGAACTCAAGAGCTCATTTACGAGTTTGTCATCTAATTGTTTCTTCATCTCCTACCCAAATACTGAAGTTGCAGTTTCATGATGTGCAGTCTCGATATTCGATTATATAAAATGAGACGCTGGAATTTTTCTACCGACTGTTGTACAATCTTCCGTCCCGTGCTCTTCTTATCAAACTTTTTTTTATAAGCAGTCTCTGATCATATTACCCTGTGTATAGAGTTGGCTTCTTCATTTTTATTTTTTTTTGCATTTGAGTAAAGTTGAGCATTGATTTCAAATTACCTGTCAATCCTTCACGTTGTAAGTTCTTGTACTGGATGTTGCTGCAAGATTGATGGTCAAGATTTAGATGGCATTTAATTTACAAGTTACTTTCCATTCTGTCTATCTATGTCGGTGTTTAGAAGATATGGTAGGGTAGACTCGACTGCATTGGACATGCTATAAACAGATTAGACCTCATTGTGACATTAATTCCTGGTAGTTTTCTCAGACCCATACGAAACAGACCTTTAGAATCAAGATTTCAGTATACTGTCCAAAATTTATTCAACCCTTCTTACCACTGGTTTGATCTTGGTTTCAACTCTCTCCGTTTTTCGGGTCGATGCCTAATCTTGTTCTTATAAATTTGGTTGAGACGTCCTGTTGAAGGCAAAAATAGCAGGAAGTAACGCCATTTGAGTTTACTTTTATGCAATACAAATTTTTTCAAGGATAAAATCATATTCTTTACAATGATCATGAATTAGAACAACAAAGAGCTTGAACACTTCAATCGAGTAATAGAATCTACAAGTTTATAAGTTTCCAACAAAAACAGAAAAATAGAATTATAAAATGATATCAATACACGCAACAGGAGTTGCTCCATTGGATATAAATGAAAGATGACTCTGAAAAAAAACACAGAAAAGAATGAAAAAAATCTACATATAACCTCTCTTTCACATCCTCTATGAGATAAAAAAAAATAAAAGATTTGTAAGATGGCCTTGGCACAGCCCTCAACAGATTCCTACTTTCTGTTTCCGGTTTTTCGTTTCACTTCAGCAGTCGGCCTTCCGATCCTCTGAGGAGTATGACCAGCCCTATTTGCCACTTTTCGAGATGGCGAAGGCCCCATTCTTGTAATCATAGACCTGCCACAAGTAGTCAACCAAATGATAATTAGTTTTTTTTCCTTGAACCATAGATACCTGACATGGATTAAATATACAGCATTTAATCATCTCGTCTAAAAGTTTAAGCTAGTAAAGTGGAGACGTGCTTATTTATTTCAATTTAGCCTTCAACAGTCCTCTTCCCTTGCATACACAATTTTCATGAAGGGTTTGCATTGAAACTCGAACCCTGGAACTTTGCTTATTTTGATACCACATTAAATCACCTCAAGTAAAAGCTTAACATATAAGAAAGCCAACATATATATGAATTTTAGGTCTTCAACACAGCAACTAGAAAGGAACTTTCACTTCATTACCTCAGTTCTGGGCTTTTGGCTTGTTTTGAATCTGGTTTTTGGATCTTTGGTGCAATGCCATTGGTGAAGTTGCCAAGCTTGGAATGGTTGAACTGCCATAGCAAATCTGGTTCGGATGAGTCGCTGGTTCCAGCATCAAGCTCATCCAAATCATCAGATGGAGCAATATCAAACTGATTACTTGATGGAAATAGGTTTACCGATTTTTCGGGGTATAACTTGGAAGAATCGGAAACAAATTGCTGATAAAAGACATCAGATATGTTGCCTGCTCCCCGGAACTCTGCAGGGTTTCCAACTTCATGGAGGGTCTCTTGCTTGTTCACCATGACCTTGTCGACCCATTCACCTGTGCCGGTCTCTTTGTCATATTCCCCGAATTTTTGACAAGGACTGCTGACTGGCGGCCAGGGAGAAGAATTCCCGAGTAGCTCGTCAAGATCAAAGCTTTGCCTCTTTTGCCTCGGTGTAGAATTGCTTTGGACCTGTGATATGAGCAGAGGCAAAACTATAAAATTGAGATTTTTGAAGATCAGAACAGAATTTATACTTTTTAAGGACACGTTGAACTTAACTCTAGAAGCATAGTTGAATGAACATAAAAAATAATATATGCTCTACATTGAACCTTGGTGATAAAGAAGAACATACAAATCTTGACCAATAGCAAAAGCCAATGCCCATAACACAGTAAGTACATTTACCTCTATGTTCCCTACATCTTCCATTGGTTTCCTGAGGCCACTAGGAGACTCCATTCCCACATTTCTAGCTTGTATATTAGATTGAAAAGATGATTGCTGCGTGGATACTGGTTCTCCTTTCCTTGCTAACGCAGCCTTCAGATTTGCAATCTATCGAGATACCGTAACTTAAGCAACTTAACTATGATCTAATATCCGAAAGCCCAACAGAGAAGCTTATAAGGATTGAAAGCAAAGATTAGAATATGGACCTCTTCTTTCAGCTCTTTAACATCTGTAGAATCCTTATTTACTCGAGCAGCACCAAGTTCAACTGTAGCAACACGCTCAGCAAATTTGAGTGTGCTAATTGTTTCTCCTACAGCATCAGGCTCCGGGCTTATATGAACGAACATAAGTGTCTTTGCTTGTCCACCTAAAAGGAATCATCGAACCATTATTAAGATATAGAAGACAAGAACAAGAAAATCCAAAGAAAAAGCTTGATATTCTGTTTATCCTTACCAAGTGAGTCTTGGAGTAGTTGTGTGAGTTTACTGTTTCTATATGGTACATGTGAATTCTTTTGGGCAAGAGAGGAGATCACATCACCCAAGGCAGAGAGAGATTTATTAATGTGCTGTGCCTCTTTTAGTCTATCTCCCGTCACTTCAGATTTGTCAACCCTTTCACTTCCGGCCAGATCAACTAGATGCATGCAACCTCGAAGAGTGGCTCCAGAGGTCAGGTCTCTTCCTTGGACATGAACGGTTAAGCAACTGCCAGAATAAATAAATATATATAAGTCAGCGTAATGAAAAAAAAATAAAAAAATCAAATATTACAGTTACCACACTTGTTCACCTGTGAGAGCGACTACTACGGTCATTTAGGGCTGTTGCACCCACTGCACGATTCCTTTGTCCGAGGTTCATAAGGTCAATCACATCAGCTGTTGAAGAGACGTGAACCAAGCTTGCATTTGGTACACTGTATCCTGACTGAGAGCTATTACGAATTTCTAACGTGAATATAATTAAAGAATACATAAGAGTATAGAGCTTTGAAATGTAGTTACAAAATTTACAATCTGAAAAATTACTGTATCATACAATGAGGAAATCACATGAAATTTTGCTGCCTTAGCAAGAAGTGGGTATTAACTTCTATTATTCATAAGATGACGTAGGATAATAGCAATTGAAAGGATATCTTTTGTTCAAGCCATCAGTAACAAGGAGATCTCTAACTTGCTCATTGTATATCTCAATCATCTGGACAGACACATCATAGCGGAACATATCCTTTCTTTGCCATGCGAGGAGGAACAAATCACTTAAGGCCCTGTAATTTACTCCTTGAGTGTGCTCGTTAAGATCCCTAGGTCCTGTCTGGAAAATAATATAAGATAATCAACATTTTTTAACACAAATGAAAACATGTCATAATTTAACTGATATATATATTCTTTATCGTACCATGGTGTAAGTTTTTCCTGATCCTGTCTGACCATAAGCAAATATGCACACGTTGTAACCATCAAGAACTGATCGAATCAACGGTTGAGTATCCGCAAAAACTTCCTCTAACATGGAGAAGAAGAAGAAGTTAAAACCCATGTCATGAAATTCTTGGACAATTAGCCAATGAGACTTACTAAATTGATGGCCTACAGACCTTGAGTAGCAGAAGGCCCAAATACTTTGTTAAAAGTGAAGGATTTGTATCCTTTTCCATTCTTTGCTGGAGTACTTATCGTAATATTTCCTTCTTCAATGTGATCCACAGTGCTGAAGTAATTCGATTGCCCTGGAAGGAATGGTCTTACACGACAGTAAACTCTAATGTTTCCTGGTAGAAGAAATATTTAACATTACTTTCATTGAGAACTCAAATACAAGACAACTAATTGAAAAGACTTTACAGGCACAATTATGTACCCTTTAGATCCTGGACTTGATTATAGAGCTTGCGGTTCTCCTCAAGAACTTTATGGTATCCAGAAGCAGCATGAGCAAGTCCATGAATATGGTGGCCTACAAAGGAAATTAACTAGAAGTATGATTGGAGGAGAAAAAAGGAACCCCAAGAAAAGGACAATAGAAATTTATCTACTAGGCAGAGACTATGATAGTAACAGAATAAAATCAGATGTATACAACCAGAAAGATTCAAAATCTTACCAATGTTATGAATTTCTTCATGGAACTTCATTTGCATGAACTGCATACCAGCTTTTGTAGTAGAAAGAGTTTGCTTCAATACCTAGTGCAGATAAATTATTCATGTTTCTTCCCCAGTTTTAATCCTCCCAAAAGGAGAGAATGGATTTGTTAAAGCTGAAGGGGAGGGTTCTAGTTTCTCGGTTGTTACCTTGATATCTTTTTGTTGTTGGTCCGCTATCATTTGTTGCTTCACTAATCTTCTTTCAGATTCTTCATCAGGAATGTAGTTCTTATGAGTTACATCATCTTTCTTCAGGAACGGGCCCTTCTTATTTTCGATCTTATTTGATTAATTGTAAAAAAATACAAAGTGTCAAGTACAAGAAATATACATCTAGAGAAATCACTTTCTTAAAATAAGAGCACATTCTTCTTTGTATGTCATACAAACAAACTACCTTCACGTTGAATGAAGAAGGTTTCAATACAGATTTGCTCCCATGGGAAACATTCAAATCATTTGGAATTGCTTTTCTCTGGCAGACACAAGCATGCAACAAGACACAAACCATGTGAGTTTTCTGGAAGCAATAACAATAATATTCCTGATGTAGCATTGTTAAAAGAAATTATAAATTGTTGAAAAAGATACTTGGACCAGTTCTGGAGAAAAAGATACTTGGACCAGTTCTGGAGGAGAGTGTACTTATTGTTCTCAAGTACAAGAGAATCTGTGCTGTGACTGGAAAGAATAACATACCAATTCAATTCGGCTTGCAATGCGATGCTCAAACTCCTCAACAACCTTACTTAGTACAGACTCTACAAGCTGTAACAGGCAGAAGTGTCGCAGTTCGGAATCAAATGCATTAGACAACATCATTGATTAGTGCTGAAAGTAAGTATTAACGCTAAAATATATGCACTAGTATTCACAATAGAAAAAGAGTTATTTTTGAAGTCTTTATGTAAAAGCACTGCTATTGTGTATTAGAAGTAACAAGAAATTTTAGGATTTTAATACATTTTGATTTCTAGTCAAAGATGCTTGGTGAAGGATCACAATGGTGGCACATATTTATTTGATTTGCAACTCATAAATTGGTATTGGGCTTATCCACACTTACATTTGGAACTTCTTCGGGCTTCTTATCTAACAAAATTGCACGAACAAGAGTGCTTAAGGAAGAAGTAGACTGCAAAATAGAAGGCAAATAATTCAATGTATGAATCTATGGTCCAAGGGTGACGAAGAGAGAAATTCTACATCGGTCAGTACAATATACTTACCATTCTGTTAGATTCCAAATCAGGGCATACAGCATTCAAAGATTTCTCGTTTGTTGACATCGTCCTTGACAGAGAACTGGTGAATGGCTCAGAATTCTTGCGAACAAATTGTTTTCCAGATACGGTGGTTTTCACATTTCCACCAAATTTCCAGACCCCAATACCTCCTGCTTGTTTATGCTCACAGTAGGATTTTAGTGCCAACACGGAATTTATGATCCTCGAAGATTTCCCTCCCTGAAAAATTTCAATGTTAGTCTGGCACAGTTCCACAATGAGGCAGCGTTAACAATACAATTCCCAAGTATAAAACTGGTGTGTAATTCAGTAAACTTGCATTTTGACTCCTAATTTATAGATTGCAATGAACTACACAAAGAATCCATGCATTAATTATTTCTCCCAACAGCTACTCTTACTTGTTCGAGATCAGAGGCCTCAAATGTAGGAATTCCCAACTCTTGTATGGCTACAAGAAAATTTCTCACATTCTCAAAGTATTGATAAGCAGATAATGCAGCACCATCAGGTATAAGAGCGGCGTCGCTGGGACCTTCTACAACCTGAAATAGATTGATCAAGGTCAATCGAGATTAAAGAGTAAAGAAGAAACTTAACAGCCAATGTTGAAGGGAGAGAAAAGAACAACTGGATTAACCTTTTGTACAGCTCCAGGCTGAATTTTGTTGACTACATTACATAGGATAATCCCGCTTCTCAAGCCAAGCCGAAATTCTTCCTCCGAAGGTTCAGCAGGTAAGTCTTTTGCGCCTACAACTCCTACCATTTTTCTCAACCACGCTGCAGCTTCATATCTTCTCATGGCTACAAAATCAGAAATAGACTCGTTACTCAACTTTTATTCCAAGAATCCAAAAAATAAAATAAAATAAAAAACTGAGAAGATTATCAAAAGTTGTAAATTTTGAATCCTCCTAGAAATGCCTCTTAGAGAAGCGAATATATTAATTGCAATTGAACTTGGTCAGACGATGAAAAGTCAGATTAATCATAAACTCAACCCACACACCATTTGATAGATTAAAAAATGATTAAATTACAGATTTAAAATCGGAAAAGGGGAGCAAAACTGTTAATTTGAATTCCAGCTTTTAACTACCAATAAAATTGATATAGAGCATTGTGCCTAATCAAATTCTTTAAATCATCAAATGCCAAAACCGACTTAGCAGCCATTTATCAGAAAACGAATTTAATTCCCAAATAAAAAATATCCACAAAAAATGAAGTTTAGAACAAAAATTTTAAAATACAAATAAGAATTATAAAATCAGCCGGAAAAGGGTGATTATATTACCAGTCTCCTCAGCTCTTCGAGCGTCTAAATCGAGATCTCGGGAACCATTTCCGTGCTGTTGCAGAACAGCCTCCACTACTGACGCCGCAGAAAATGAAAAGGCATCTTCAACTGCCGCCATGGCGATCACTAAATAATTCTCTTAAAATCGAATTTTAACCCTCCACCATACACGAAAATTCTCCGTAGAAACCAAAACAATTACAAAACATCATACATATGACTATCAAAAAGTATCATTTGCGGTTTTTAGAACCTAAACCAGAGGGAGCTTAGGGTTTTAAGATCAGTTCTGACAGAAATGATAACAATATATATACATATAATCATATAGATACACAGAGAATACACCCTTTTTCTCTCTCTCTTCAACACTACAGTTCAGCATTGGCCATGCTCATTGAAATCTTCTTCACTTTTCTCTCTCTATCACACACACTCACGCAGTCTCTCGGTGCAAAAAAAGGTTTCTTCTATGCTTACTGCTGCTGAGTATATAAGTAGAGGCTACTTTTTGAATCTGTCTGCAGTCTAACTCCTAAGCCACATGATTCCGAGCCTCGCTCCGAACCTCCAGGCTCGGGGACTAACGGTTCAGGTTGTACTTTCCATTTATTATTCCTTGGTGTTCAATCTCTGATTTGTCATGTACAACCTGCTAAAGCGGGAAATGGGAAATCGAATATCTTCTCCCTTTTTTTTTTTTTCCTAGTCATTTTTTTTGGAGGAAACACTGCTTCTTCTTCTTTTCTTTTTGATAGTGTAAAAATTTCTTTAATTATGCATTTTCTTCCCTTTAATTTCTTCTAAGAAAATCAATCTTTTACAAGCATTTAAATCGTCGAATTCAATAACTGCACACAGATAAATTCACAACTAAGTCGTTAATTTTGGATACAATACGATATTTTTCTTCGACAATATTAGAAATAACAGGACATCTCAAATTCCTTTAAATGGGACAACCAAGAGGAAGAGAACTCGTAGAATCGGCTTATAATGAACAAAAGTTTAATAATTAATATTGTTCAGTATTATTTAAGTTTTCTACGCCAAATACAATGTGAAAGTATTTTTACTATCCAATATAAGATGGATTAAGAAATTGTTAAAAATAATCTCAAAGTCAATAATTAAGTTTAAACACAAATATTATTGGATCACAACTTTTCAATCGCGCACTTTCTCGCTTTTATCATAATTGCATAATTTTTTAATTAAAAAACTTTGTCAAACAACCCCTTAAATTAGAGTCGGTACATTGAAATGGACCTCTTGTCAAAAAGGGGAAATATATATATATATATATATATATCCTAATCAGTTCTGATTTTTAACCCTCAATACACCACATTTAGTTTATAAAATCATAGTATAAAATTCATTAAAGTACTTTTCTTAAATTCATCTCTGTGTTAAGCACGATAATGACATAAGGTTGAATCAATAGTAGTGTGTACGCACTATCAAAACAATTAACTTCTCTAAGAAAGAAAAATCATATTCGAATATATTTGGGGAAAAAACTTGGTTACTTTTAAGCAAAGCTAAAAATGCAATTCTTCATGAATTACCAGTTTGAGTTTTGATTGGTCATTATAGTTGTCTAAACTTTATAATGCAGTCACTAATTTGTTAAGCTATTGTATTATGTCATATTTAAGTAAAAAATCAACACTCATTAACTTTTTATAAGTACAATTGCTTCATTTATTTTAGTTTTTAAAAGGATATAATTATGGCATAAAAAGGAACCGCGTTAATTTTTTAACTAATGAATAATTACTTGATTTACATACAAATGAGATTTTAAATATATCAAATGCTTGCCTCTGGTAAATTTTCATTGGTACGTGTAAATTAGTCTTTACGGAAAACATTCACGATACATCTAATTAATCTTTATGGAAAACATTCATCAATGGCATGATATAATTGGAAAATATTTCGCAAATATCAAATCATATTATATAGTAACAAGATAATTATGCCAACTGTGTTTGCTTATAAACCGAGCTGGATATTACAGTTGCATTCTAAGCATCATTCCACGTGTTGGTTTGTCGAGATTGACCATCCATATAAAAAGTAATATCTTTTTCGAGGATCTTACAAGGATCAATTGTTTTCAAACTTTGATTAACTTGATCTATATGAAGCCAAGGTGAGTAACTATACACAAATATTAGACAAACTAGACAATCCCTCCCATTTCAAATTCAAATAGAATTCAAAATACGAAGATGCATTTGGTTGGTGTAAGGGGTTTGTCCTCATATTTCATTATTCAATATGGACTTCACTAGTTTTGTCAAGCACTATTTGTTTAATTTCAAATTAATAATATATACATTTGAATTTGGAGACTTGCTTATGGTAATGGGTTATGGCCCACAACTTAAGAAACTCTCATGTGAATGCTTTGACAAATTTACCCTTAAGTTCTCCACCGATTCCTTTGAGTCGAGCCTCTCAGTCTGTCAAACAAAAACAACATAATGACTGAGTCCAAAATATCGAATTATTAATTAAAAATAAATATATATTAATAATATTTTTGTTGCCTTCCTCCAATCCAATTGTCAATACCTAAAAGGTTCCAATTCACCACGAACAAAAATAGAAAATCTCTTCTTCCTCTGTGCCTCACCGGGCATAAGAAGAAAAAGAAGAAGATCAAATTGGTTCTTCACATACATCTAAATTGCATATCTAACATGTCATTTAACGTATTTCTCTTGTATAGAAGACACCATAGGACACATCTTGAGCCATGGTTTATCTAACGAAACATTTTATACAAGATAAAGTCATGGAAAGACTATTCCCTAACCACTACTCTTTTGCCTTATTTAAAGATCACTCTTTGCTTTCATCAGAAATATTTGTTTGTCTAGACTAAGTTTCTTTTGCTTAGTCTCCAAGACGTACCACTTGTTTAAATTTTAATCTGCCTTTACCTTCAATGGCTTGTGTTCACGTAACAATAAATGTTTGAATATTGACATAGCAACACTTGGAAGTTTCTTTTTTAATTTGCAACTTAAAGTTAGTTCGAGATAATTTTTAACGAATTCAAGAAGAAATGATAGTTATTCACAATAAATGCAATTAGAATTGTATCTATTTGGCCACTGCTAAATAGCCTAAATTCGTGAACTCGTAAAAAAAAATAATCTCGATAATTTATTTGGTCGTGCACCTTATGCAAAAATTAATTTCTTATATCAATTAAAAGTTACTTGTGTGATTCAACTAAGAGTACTGATGAAGTAGAACTGTCGAGGAGAACGAAGACCCTTAAAAATTCGTAATATCTTAGAGTATTAGAGAATTCGTGAAATCAAGATCCCATCACTTTATCAAAGAATTCTGAATTATTGACAAGGAATTGAGAGAAAAAATCTTAAAATTAGTTTATTCAACAATCGAAAGCTACAAAATCATAAATGTTGTCTATGCTGCTCTTGAAACAATAACCTAATGTACAAACTTAATTAAATTATAACTTAGTCCCTCATCTATTATTAAAATGTTTTAAGATAAAAAGATAATAAAAATTTCCAAACCAAACCCATCTTTCATCTTCAAGCTATGGGTTGAATGATTCACGCATCACAATTAAAATGTTGGTAAAGCCCATTTAGTAGGACTCTACATCTTGTAGAAGAACTTTATAAAAAAAGTTACCTTAAAATAGTTTCTCTAAAAATCCTAGTTATACGAATAACAAAGTATTTTCAAAAAATTATCTCATCACATTAAAAAATAATTTCTTAAATTTTAAAACAATTTTTAACTTTTCAAAAGTCTTATCAAACAGACCCTAAATATATTTCAAATGCGCATATACTAAGGAAAAAAATTCATAAAAAAGAAGTTAAGTATCATCCATTTCAAAATTAAGAATAGAGGTTTTAAATTTCAAAAATTAGATATTTATTAAAAATTATTTATGATTTAATTTGATCACAAATTAACGATTTAGTTAGTCACATTTTATTTTTCGATCACAAATCAGAATTTTTTATATATCACAAATTATTTTGCAGTCACAATTAAAAAATTTTATAGGTCATAATTTGTTTATCAGTCACAAATAAAAAAATTATAGGTCACAGTTTATTTATCGAGTACAAGTTACAACTTATTATACAATCAAAAATTAATATTTTTTTATCACAATTTATCTTTTTCATTGATCACATATTATTTATTGATCGCAAATTAACCAATTTAATGATCAGAATCAACCTAATAATTTGTGACTACCACCAATATTTATCACCACCATCTCACCACTACCTCCAGCACCACCACCACCATCGTCATCGCCATAACCACCACCACTACTTCCTAACAACAATATCATCGTCTCAAACAAATTAACACATCGCATAAAAAACATCACCATATCATCACGCCAAAACCATCGCCACCCTAGGGGCGTCAAAAAGACTCGACGGCTCGTGTGGCCCGTGGCCCGACTTGTAGCTCGGAGCAACCGAGCCCCTATTTTGGGGACACGGGCCGAGCCCAAACCGGCCCTCGAGCCTTTAATTAAAAAAAACAAACGAAAAAAGAGGTAGCATTTGCTGCCTTTCAAGGCAGCGAAACAAGAAAAAAAAGAGCTGTCTCGGCTCGAAAAAGCTCGAACCGAAAGCTCGAGTTGAGCTGAAATTTTTTGGTCGAGCAAAAGCTCAGCTCGGCTCGGGCTCGTAAAAAAGTTCAATCATTTTAATCGAGCCGAGCTCAAGCCGAAAGTTTTAGGCTCGGGCTCGACTCGTTGACATCCCTACGCCACCCTCACTGACCTATCGCCACCAATATCTCACTATCACCACCGTAACTACAGCCATGATCACCATCGCCGACCGTCCTGCCACGGCTAAAATATGGAAGCTGCCACCACTACTCTAACAACCAAAATCAATGCCTCACCCCCATCAACCACTTGTACCACCACCCCACTGGCCACCGCAATCGTCAAATCCACCACCATCACAAAAACCACGCAGATTTACCCCCACTCAAACACCACCAAAAAATCAAATCCAACCCTGAATATTTCTTGTAAACCATCATGTTTTCACTTGTAGGGATAAACCACCACCTCCACCAATAAAACCACCATCGCCATCGCCACTAACAAAATCCAACAAGCTCACCACCGCCACCACTAGATCAACAAATCGTCGCCACCGCCACCCAAACACGACCAACATATCAAATTCACAATCGCCATCACCAGAACCAAAATGCTGCTAGTTGTGTGTGGTCATGTCAAAGGCGTCATGCGGGCGCTTGCCTCCGGTGGTGGCTGTGTGTATATCACCTTCACGGTGGATGAATAGATTTTTGAATTGTTATAATTAGTATATATATAAAATCTAATTTTTGAATTAATAAACATAACCTATGATTTATGAATTGAAATCTTGTAATTTCCACATATATCAAACCTAACCCATATTTCATCTTCAA